ACCCAGGACATTGAGAACACCATGTTGATGCTTAATAATATATCTACATGTCAATATATTATTAAGACTTTATAGTCTATTTCCAAAAGACTATAAAGTGTGCTATAGTGGAAACTGAGTAAAAAGGAAAAAAAAACTTATATATTACAATGTAAGTTTTCACTCTTTTCTATACTTATTAACTTTTTCTATTATTAATGAACTGAGTAATAGATAATGCAGCTTCTACAATTTGTATGCCTATAACAGACATGCTTGGGAAATATATCTGCTCTCTACTGTCATTGGAAAGTCGGGTTTCCGCAATAAACTGTCCGTGGACACATATCAGTTCTTCAGAATTGTGGAATCTCATCTCTCTTCAAACCTCACCCGAATAATGTTCCCACAGTTGGATTAGCATGGAACCCCACAGCTGGTCAGTGAGGATATGTGTGCTTAAAACGAGCTTTTAATTTTGACCTTGAAGTCAAAATAATAATGCCGTTTCATTTAGATAATTTAGATCTCTTTTGCTGAATCCATCCTAGATCTTTTTATTCACTAGAGTCCCTGAGTAACTGGAGACCAGTGTTTAGTGAGGGTGGAGATGGAGTGAGGTGCTGGCATTGGGAACAGGTGCATAAACATCTGTCTGCTGTAGCAGAAGTAGTTAATGCTGTTTGGAAAGTGTGAATGAAGTGCTGGACATTTGGACTTTTCTATTTTTTAGTTCTTGCAAATACTGCTGCTTTATACATTGCTTTGGTAGATATTTTTGCTGGGTTTATACCTACAAGTAGAATCACTAGGTCATAGAGCAAGTATATGCTGAGCTTTGGAAGACACTGCCAAACAGTTTTCTAAATTGCTTGTACACATTTAAATGCACCAGTGATGATTCCAGTTGTTTCTCATCCTTGCAACACTTGGTATTTTCTTTTTCACTTTTGCCATTTGCCATTAATTTTTGCCAGTGTTTTTATCTTATTGTTTTAATTGCTATTTCATCGATAAGCAGTGAGGCTGCTCACCTTTTCAAATGCTTACTGACCACTTGGATGTCATGTTTTATGAAATGTTTGAATATGTCTTCTGACCTTTATTTATAAATTGGGATCTTGGTCTTTTTCTTACTGTGTTTGAGGAGTTGTTTATAGTTTGTAGATATGAATCCTTTGTCGGGCATATGGATTAAAAATAACTTTGCCCTTGGTAGGCCTTGTCTTTTTACTTACTTAGTAACATTTTTTGATTAACAGAAGTTCCCAATTTTATGAAATAGAATTTATTGTTTTTTTGTTTGCAATCTACGTAGAATAAATTGTTATATATGTCATGAGATAAGAATAACATTCTTTTTTTCACTTTCAGTTTTGAAACCTATTTTCTCTAGTTACAGCATTGCAGATTGGCAGTTCCCCCCCTCCCCGCACCATTTCAACACTTTAAAAATGTCATTTCATCGTCTCTTGAACACAGTTTCAGTTGAAAAGTCAGCCATCGGTGTTATTATTGCTCTTTGAACGAACCGTTCCTCACTGACGTTAGTTTTCAGCAGTTTTACTCTGATGTGCATAGGTGTGGTTTTCTTTGTATTTATATTGCTCAACATTGGTAAAGCCTCCAGAATCTTTATGTGTCTGTGGTTTTATGTCTTGTTAGTTTTGCAAAATTCATAGTCTGTCTTCACATACTAATTCTGACACATTATTTCTTTCCTCTCCTTTGGAGACTAACACTTGTTAGATTTTAAAATATGGTGTCTTGTATATCTCTTGTAGTCTCTTCAATTATGGTCTTTTTTGTACTTGCAGTTGCTTATTTGTCTCTGTGATTTCAGCTGGATATTTTCTATTGGTCCATTTCCAGTTCACTAATTCTTTCTTGTACCATGTTTAACCTGTTGTTTAACACATCCATCAATTTTTAATTTAGGTTATTTTATTTTTGATTTCCATAATTCCCATTTATTCTTTTTATGCATTATAGCTATCTGGTGAAGTTCACCATCTCACCATCTATTTACTTGAATAATAATCACAGGTATTCTAAAATACATGTTTGATAACTCAAATTTCTGGGCACCTAACAGTGTTGTTATTGTTTTTTTCAACCTCTGTTGGTTTTTGGTCATTTAATCTTTTTGCATATCTGGACATTTTTCTACGGGTTCCTCTTCCCCTTAGTTTTTGGTTATTTTATTTTCTTGCATACCTAGGGTTTTAAAAAATAAGTCTTTTGTCTACTAGAAACATATTTGTTTCCTCATCGGTGGAAATGTAAGTATTTAATTACAATCTCCACTGTGCTTCACTCAGCCTTTCTCCCTTTGTATCTGTCTGCTATGAGTCAAACACAAGTTTACTTTGTCCCACAGACTATAAGGTTACACCTCAAACTCTATGAGTTTGAACATTTCTCTTTAGCTTTGAGATGAGGTAGGTGGACTACCTCCTATTTCTCCCTGGGGGTGGAGAAGGCAAATATTACAACACTTGAACAACATTTTCCAGTGAAATTGCCTTTTTAAGCTCAAACTCCCTTCTTGGCCTGAATAAACACCTTTATAACTAGTTTATCACCTCAGCCTGGAAGGAAAGTGTAATGGCACTTACTGTCTTGGGGTCTAAGTTGAAACAGACAAAAGTTCCCTTTTGGTAACTGGTTATAATTTGTAATAATATCATTATTTTTCTTGCTATAAAAATATGAATATTAACTTAAAATGCTTGATTTTTAATTGTTTAAAATTGCAATCAATCCATAAAAATTAGAAAAATTGTTGGTCTGTGTGTACCCATGAAGCAGGTAGCCCACAGCTTACTGAAAGTTTGAAAAATACTGCTCTAAATTTTTTGTCATTTCACATAATCACACAATTTACCTGCTAAGAATCAAAACTACTTAATTTTTGACCCATTGTGGTCATCTGCTTTTGGATGTATTGAATTTATGATGTCCAGATGACATCAATATCTAATAGTAATAGGCAGTTAGAATTACGGGTCTAGACCTCCAGATGACATCAATATCTAATAGTAATAGGCAGTTAGAATTATGGGTCTAGACCTCAGAGATTAGAATATTATGAATATTTAGAAGAAACTATAGAAATGACTGAGATGCTTAGGTAAGGGATGTAGAATGAAAACCAAGTGGAAGCCAGAATATGTAAGACTCAGGTAAGCTGATGGCCTTAGGACTTTAGTCATGATGAAGAAGACTTACTCTTCCAGGGGTTCCTTTATCCTGATGTATACAAATAACTTTGTGTTTGTGTACCCTTATCATTCTGGTTGTAATCTTTAAGTTCATGTTCAAGACTTTCTAGATCTCCCACTCCCCTCTGCATGTGTGTGTGTGTGCACATGTGTGTGTATACATATACATAGGTATGTGTGTGCGTGCGCGTGTGTGTGTGTGTGTGTGTGTGTGTGTAGTTTGGCTCTGTGACCCCACCCAAATCTCACGTCGAATTGTAGTTTCCGATGTTGGGTGGGAGGTGACTGGATTTCCCCCTTGCTGTTCTTGTGATAGATAGTGAGTTCTCACGAGATTTGGTGATGTAAAGCTGTGTGGCACTCCCCCTTTGTGCACGCTCTCTCTCTCTCTCTCGCTCTGCCATGGTAAGACGTGCTTGTTTCCCCTTTGCCTTTTGCCATGATTGTAAGTTTCCTGAGGCCTCCTAGCCATGCTTCCTGTATAGCCTGTGGAGCTGTGAGTCAATTAAAAACTTGTTGTCTTCATAAATTACCCAATCTCAGATAGTTCTTTCTAGCAATGTGAGAACGGACCAATACACACACACACACACACACACACACACACACACACACACACACTTAAAACCAAAGAAGAGCTGAGCAGAGTTTGAGTTTGTTTAAACCCACTTGTATGTGTGTATGTGCGTGTGTGTGTGTGCCTGTGTGTGCATGCATGCGTATATGTATGTGTGCATGTGTGTATACATGCGTGTGTGTGTGAAGTGGCAGTTTCCTGACCCTGTGGCTCCTGATAACGATGACGTAGTGATAGAACAATGACAATGATTGTGGAATATAAACGACATTTTAGCTAAACTAATCGCGTTTTTCTTCCTTCAGAGGCAAAGTTCTGCATCTTCTTTTGCCCGTCACCCTTGCTGATGTCTCATGTATCTTAAACTATCATCACTTCGTCATTCTATCACGGCTACATGCCATTAGCATCCTGTTCCATAGCACTCTTGAAGTATCTTGACTGCCCTGTGAATTGACCCAGCAATTATGGCCAAATGCCTTAGGAATGGTCCTGTACATTATAAACACATCAATACGCATGCTGATGTGATAATGCTAAAATTACACTTCTCACTTTCAGTAGCTTCCAGAAAGTCACTTATAAAGGGATGCTTCCTGGTCTAAGGTGAAACCCCTCAGTCACCAGTCCCTGCAATGTCTGGGGCCCTGGGAGCCAGATAGATTGGAGCCCAGAAGAATGATATCCTTGCCTTGGCCTTAGATTTTGCTAATTCTGTGAGAGACATTAGCACAATATTATTAGAATCCTCCAAGATTCTTCCACTCATTGAATTGACACTAATTAATTATGTCAGCAGATTCCTTTAGGATAAAGGCTTTAACTTGCTGCAGATGCAGGTTGACTACTCACAGGTACTTAAAGGGTTACAGTGCAGAAGTAAAGAACAGTCAAAAATTCCCATCTCCACCTTTCTCTCCCCATCGATATGATGGTCCCAGCTCCCTGCAAACTGACTACTTGTCCTCTCTCTGGTGACATCAGTATCACTCAAGCACTGTCAACACTTCAGTTTGGCAGCATCTGTGGGCTAGAGTATGTCTTGGGAATTTAAAGAAATAAGATGTCAAATCCAAAAGGAGTACTCCTTTTTGCTAGAGACTCATATATTTTGGAAAGCATGTAGGAGAGTTCACGGAAGTCTTTGCCTAGAGTTTCAGAATTTTAATAAATAATATTCCTTTTTTTAATACCACTGGTGGTATTTCTCTACTACATACCTGATTCTTGTCAGTGGTGGAAACACACAATAGCTGTCCTAACACTACGTATGTCCATGGAGCCAGCGAGGCTGTTCCATTAATTCTGTGTTTGCAGCTTTGGCAATGCAGGGAAAGACTGAATTTCTCTGGACTGTAGATTTTTCTTTTCTCTAAAACAAAAGACAGTGAAAATGTGAGAGAACAAAGAGATAGATTCTGTCTCTCTTTTGTTCACACATTCATTCAGCAAACATTTAATGAGTGGGTAGGGAGTATGTGAATAAGATACAGATCAGTCCGCCGAAACGTCGTAGTAGAGTAAGAGAGACCTATAAACAATGGACTTTTACATATGAGGGCAAATCTGTAGTGCGACTATTACAGTCTGCCAAAGATCACACTTTCAGGAATACATTCTACTTAGGAAGGCATTTGGGTCTCCCCAAAGAAGAGATTAATTTGGCTAGGCCTTGAACAATGAAACAAGGAGTATGATTTGATCCAGTGGGGTTGCAAGAAAGGAAAAAAAAAAGGAATAAGTGAAGTGAAGGTTTATGCATGTTTAAGGAATTGTGGACACGGACTTTGCTATACAGGCTGTATGGGCGACAGAGACTTTCCGTGGGTGGAAGGCGAGAGAATGTGGCACAAGGTCATTAAGGACCCTGAACACCATGCTAAAGTGTTTGAGAGAATGGAAAGTAAAGTAATTTTTTTTTCTCTTAAATTTGAAAACAGTATGACAGGCACAAATGCTATAAACCAAGATCATTCCTTAAAAGACAATAATTCTTGATTGGATAATCTCTTAATGAAAAACAAAGAAAAAGAAATAATGTATCTCATTGTCCCCAGTGCACCATGGGATCCTAGAGTGAGTCTCCTTATTGCAGTGTTGGCCTCATCTGTTCATGTTTACTTCCGTGACTGGTATTTGGATTGCTTCTTGAACCACCCTGGCATTGCTTCATCTTTCCAGACAGCTGCTCTTTTGAAGCATCTTTTCAAGAGATGCGTTTCTGCGTATCTAGACAGAGCATACACTTGTCAATCAAAACACAAATAGCACGCAAGCAACCTGCATGTCCAGAGGCTGGAGGAGAGACAGGGCTACTTTCCCACTGAGGACCTGCCAAGTGTAGAATGACTGGGCTCTTTGTGGTCCCTCTGAAATCGCAGAGAGGGACCCCAGCACGAAAACCGCTGCTTCTGCCCTCCGTCTTGTATACTCATCTTTTACTATTTTTAATAAGAAAACTCTGAAGGGCTTCCAAAGACCACAAAACTACTACACAACAGTTTTTTACCTGCTTTGTGGAGGCAAGTGACTGTGATTTTTTTTTCCATTGCCTAGCATTCTTCTATATTAGCATTGGATCTTTTTTTTTGTTTTTTTTTTTTTTTGGCCTCTCCCCCTACAAATGGCCAGGCCTGAAGTTACTCATTATTCGAATGAGTTTTTGATTCAACAATAGAGTTTCCTGGGGTGTGAGAGATGGTCTCTGAGGACAGTCAGTGGGCAGCTTCTATTCACAGTGTTGGAATCAGAGCTGTTTTGCATGCCAAGGGGGAGATTGAACCGGGAGTTTATGCAAAAGCTTCAATAGGGCTTATACTGGCCCAGTCACATTTCTTAGAATGTCTGGGATGATGTGAGTGTGACTCTTTCTGGACTTCATCCACTCTCTCCCTTTTCAAAGAATAACTGGCTTGCAGAGAGATTTGGCAAAGCAGGGGACATGGAGCACCACCGGGACCAAAGGGTTTCTGGTTCCTATTTGTTTTCCTGTCAGGTGTTGCTGGGAGATCCGTTCCCTCCAAACTACTGCCAACTATGTGAACTCTAGTAATTTGGCAGGGCAAATAAATTACTGGCAAATCCAGCACAGCAAATTGTGGGCTAATAGCGAAGGCCAGAGACGTCTCTGTTAATGGCTCTCGCGCAGCCTTTTGTCAGCTGAGGGAGGAGTCGCGTCTGAATCCTGAGAAGGTGGACTTGGGGTAGGGACAGAAAGCCCAGGGAAATTGCAGAAGATGAAAATGTTGTTTCCATCACTGATAATTGTTTTTTTTTTTTTCTTTTTTCCAAAAACAAGAAAAAACCAAAACCTAGGCCCAGTGTCTTTTATGGAAAACAAAATGATACGACTGGACATTCAAGTCGGGCATGGTGGCTCATGCCTGTAATCTGAGCTCTTTGGGAGGCTGAGGCAGGAGGACTGCGTGAGCCCAGGAGTTTGAGACCAGCCTTGGCAACATAGACTCTGTCTCTATGAAAAAAAAATTAGCTGGGTATGGTGGTACATATGCGTAGTCCCAGCAACTCAGGAGGTTGAGGCGAGAGGATCACTTGAGCCCAGGGGGTCAATGAAGGTTACAGACAGCTATGATCATGCCTCTGCACTCTGGTCTGGGTGACAGAGCAAGACCCTGTCTCCAAAAAAGGAAGAAATAAAAAACAATTGAAACTTCAGAAGCCCTAGTGATTTGAGAAATATAGAAAAGAAAAAATTACAGACTGTATGGTAACATCTGCCCTTACAATTTCACAGACCTTTCTCTTCAGTTTCTTTGGCAAAGAAGAAAAGATGTCACAATAATTCAGATGTGTCATTCTTTGGCTCTATCTCACAGAAAAGAGATGAAGTAGGAGTTAGATGCTGATAATGTCAGTTCTCAGTATGCGTTGCTGTCATTGACTAACCAACTGTAGCAAATTTTTCCATGTGTCTTTAGGTATTGAATATCACTGTGTTATGTTCAAGTACTACATTCTTACATTTGTATATATGTACTTGCCTACATACAGATCAGGAATATCTGAATTCTGATGAACATTTATTTACTCACAGGGAAAAAAAGTTAGTTTCTGTTTGTCAGGGAAACTCTTCACCTGTTATTAATTTATTCACTCCATCAGTCAATATTTATTGAAGACTTATTCTCTGTCCATCACTGTATTAGGTGGTGGGGTTATGGCAGTGAAGAAAACAAAGCAAAAATTCCGACCATCACAGAGCTTATATTCTAGTGGGAGGAGACATATAGACCTATATGTGTGATAATGGTGATGGATGTTAAGGAGGAAAATAAAGCAGGAAAAAGGGATAGGGTGTTGCAATCCCCAAAAAAGGGATAGGTTTGCAAGTACAGTGGGGAGGAAAACCTCAGTGATCAGGAGCCATTTGCACAAAGACTTAAGTGAAGGGAGGAAGCAGTTCATGTTGGGGAGAGCCTTGTAGGGAGAGGAAATGGCCAGTGCAAAGGCCTGGAGTCTGGAAAGTGCCTGGTGAGTTTGAGTTAGGGCGGGGAGTCCAGTGTGGCTGGAGTAACATGAACAAGGAGAGAATATTGGATCTGGAGAGGAGATCACAAGGTTCCCGGCAGGGTGAGCCAGCAGTGGAATGCTGTGTGGGCTTTGTAGGCGTAAGGATTTTGGCTTTCATGCTAAAAGGATGGGAAGCCACAGAGAACATGGTGTAATTTCCTTTTACAGGGATCATTCAGGCTGCAGGGTGTCAAGGGAAGAACGAGGGAGATGAATTGCAAGAATCTACTAGGTGAGAGGTGATGGAGGCCTGGCCTATGGTGCAACGTGAAGGTGGGGAGATGGAGTCGGACTTTGGAGATGATTTCTACCTGTGTTAATGAATCATTGGGGTAGGTACGGTCTGGAAAGGCAGACCTTGGGAAAGGCTGAGGATAATTCCTAGACGGGTACTCAGCAGAGGACCCTCAGCAGTCAAAACCCTTGGGACCGTGCAAATGAGTGCCTTGGTCCTCAAGGGGGATCGGGACACAGTATCCACGACATTGATTCCCACACCTTCTAGGAGATAGAGTTAAGATTCTTATTCCCACTTTAAAGGTAAGAAAAATGAAGTTTAAAGAGAATTCACCACTCAAACTCCTAAGGTTTTAAGTGATCCCTCTAAGCTGCAAACAGGTCTTCTGATGACATGTCCTGACAACATTCTTTTGTCAATCACCTAAACCCCCACTACCTACTCACCACAGGTGCCTGCATTCCTAAATGAAGACCAGATGTCACCTGCAGTGTTGAAGTGCTGGCTCTTATAGTGAGTGGCTGTGAATAAACTCCATGCCCTCATATGTGACCAACCTGTAGATCTTTGTCCACAAACATGGGTATGGACTGGCACACACCTGAATGTGTGATGGGCTGTGCACCCAGCCTCTTCTTTCCTTCTTGCTTCCCTCCCTTCTGCTTCCCTCCCTCCATCCCTCCCTCCCTCATTTCCTTGACCAGCTTGTAATAATAGATTCTGTGTAATAATAGTACATTTTGTGCCCATTAAAGTGCTACATGCTGTTTATGCAGTTTCCTAGTTATTTATTTTTAAAAAGTATGAATAAAAAAGCTAGTGCAAGGACCTGACTCTGGAGCCTTGGAGGAAGAGAGTTTTGAGGTAGGAGACATTTGAACATGCTTCTTCTGAGATGTCTGTGGGACATTTAAGTTGAAAGCTACAAGGCTCCAGCTCAGAGAGACCTATATGGAGACTACGTTGGGAATTTCTGAACATTCTACTCTGAAAATTTGTGTCCTGAACCTCTGACTGATAATCAGTGCATCCGTTTCCTATTTTACCTTATCCTTCCTGTTGTTTCTAAGTGTGCATGAATCTATCAGGTAAGCTGAACAAACGAGAATCAGGTCTAAAACAAGCATAACTTTACTTTGCCTCTCATTACCCCATTAAACTTGATTAGTAGAACTTTTTTCCCTTCAATCCCGGATGCAGGTTCTGGCATATCCCAGAGATTTTCTTTTTATTCTTAGAAAATGTGCATCCCTGTGGTGACATAAGGCATAGACTCAATTTCAAACATTTAATGTCCAGTCCAAGCTATTATTCAAGTTGTCTGACTTGGCTTCAGGTTAAAGCGTCAACCTCCTGGAACCAACCTGGGTCAGTCTGGAGGCAGGAGAGGAGGGAGCTAGAATGCCTTATCTCACAAGCTTCTGCTTCCGGCCTTGGGAGGAGAAGGAGAAGGGAGGTTAAGAGGATGGGGCAATTCTTACATTGCTGGTTCATACCCTGGGCCTGGCAGATGTCTGGTTCTTTCCATGAAGTATATTTGAGCTCCTTGTAGGTTATAGCTTGGACTCTCTCAACTGGTTTTACCTTAAGAAAGGATAAGCCTCTATTCTGGGTAGCTTTGTGGCTCTTTCCTCAGCCCAGGTGCATTGGTAAGACCCTCACCCTCTATCCCCAACCAGCCTCTTTCTACAGACATCTCCTTGTCCCTCCAGGCAGCTCTCCTGGCTAAAACAGGGCCCAAGTACTCACGCAGACTGTCCCTCTACCCTGCCCTGCCCATGCCTGGTGTGGCACAGCGGTGTGGCCTACACCCCTGCAGTGTGTCAGCCCTTCCCGTGTCTGTGAGATTTCCTGTGCAGGAGTCAGCCTCATCCACGGTCTCTTCAGCTTCCTCAGAGGAGAATGGGGTGCAAGTTCCTGCACTTCAAAATTTCAGGGGATGCAGGCCAAGCTCTCCAAGGAGAGGGAGAAACTGTGTGCCCCTGGGGAAGTCTCCTCTGCTCCTCCTGTGCTCTCATTTGATGGAGGAGCCATGGGCGACCACCCTCCTTTCACGACGTGTTGCTTCCTTGTTCTTCACACCCATGGGTAAAAATACCCTGAAGTGAGAAATCACAGAAGTGACATTAGGAGGCTGCTTAGGCAGCAAGCTTGAGGGAGGTCGTGAAGGGAGGAAGGAACAATGTGACATCCCTGAAGGAAGGGGCCTCCAGAGAAGCTGGGAAAGGGAGTGAGGAAGCAGGTGCTGGCACTTCCTTTGTCATTTCTCCCTTTACCTCAAATAACCTGGGATGGGGATTTGGTGGCACAATGCCTCACTGTGTGCCATGACATTCCCCAGGCTGTGGAATGCCCATGCACCAAGGGGCAGCCAGCCGTGAGGAGAGGCTGTGGGGCTGCAGGTGGGCTGAGGTCCTGCCTCCCAGAAGGTCCTTCTCACACTGCTCACACTTGCTCCTCCAAAGCTGCTAGGTAAAAGGAAGTAGGTCGTTTTGTGGGTGGGAGAACCATTCTCAATTACAAAAAAAAAAAAGAGAAATTATTCTAAGGTTCCAAGAATTTCAGCTTGTAAGTCAGAAATTTCACACCCCAAATGAAATTGGCAGAAAGCCCAGAACTCGCCATTTTCACTTTAGGTACTAAAATTGTTACATGGATTTACTTAAAGAGTAACCAGAGTATTAAAATGTCTTTTGGGCTTAAGATTTATTTGCCTATGATCCATTGGCATGATTATTTATTTACCAAATAAATTGAGAGTTGGTTTTGTTATTTTGAAACTGTCTAGGAATCTCACATTTATGTATTTCTAGTATGTCCTGTGATCAGAAAGCATTGACCTTCTTACAAATAAATTGTATACAATTAATGATCTGTTGGTACACTTTTATATCTTACAGATTCTTCATGCGAACACAATATTATAATGTTTTCTTCTAACTGGATGTACTGGAATCTTAAGTGGCTAACTCAGTTGAATAAAGTAGTCTTAGAAGGCTTAATTGTCTCCCATTGGCTACAGTAATAATGAGAGTTTGGATAAACCTGGACATTGCTGCGTGTTCTTCATTTTCCAGCATGTATGCATGCAACCCATACATACATGCTCCAAGTACACAACAATGTCTTAACAAATGGAGTCGGCCCTCATTATTTGTGGATTCCCTATCTGAGAATTTGCCTACTCACTAAAATTCAGTATTCCCAGCACTTCGGTCATTTGCGGACATATACCGAGTGGCAAAAACTTCAGGTCACTGGAGGAGCACATTTCCGGCTGGGTCAAAGGCAACCGCACCGCCATTTTGTTTCCGTTCTCATAGTGTAGACAAGTGTCCTCTTCACAGTCCGCATCCTCTTCACAGTCCAGTTAGTGCTGTGTTTTTCGCACTTACGGGATCTTTGTTGGTAACTTTGCTATTCAAAATGGCTCCCAAATGTAGCTGAAGGGCTGTTTGACGTTCCGAGAAACAAGAAAGCTGTGGTGTGCCTCATGGCGAAAATAAGAGCGTTAGAGGAGCTT